GGGAGTGCGGCCCGGCCGGCCCGCCGCCGTCCCCCGCGGGCAGCGTTCCGCAGCCAAATTAACTGCACCCGAACTTGTAATGATTTCGTAATTGATCAGAAACCACGAGTGGGGTAGAGATGGAAATCGGCAATCACGGCCAACGGCCCCGAAGAGTTGTAAAACGTGGCGTTGCTCCTTTTCTCCTGTGAACGGCATTAACTCCCTGGGCCTTGAGGTGATGGTGCCGCCGCTTAAGGCAGCCCAGCTTACACGGCCTCCATCTCATATACATAGATACATGATCACTCATGGCAAGAGCCCCAGCAGACACTTCACAGCAGTTCTGCAACTGAGACACTGCAGGGATGGTGCCATTGCTGCCCTTCCTTTTTCATAGGGGGGAAGGTTGAGAATACTTTTTTTTTTTAACTGCTTTTCTGTAGTTTAATGATTCACTGTAGGAAGAAAAATGTGAACATAATGTTATTGTGCAATTCCTGCCTATTAAAAAAAAAATCATTCCATGAAAGAAGAGAGGTGATGAATCCAAAGATTCGTACAAGCGATCCAAGAAAACAAGGAGGCTGTAGGCCCCTTCAGGAGCCCTCTAGGGAATGGAGCAATGCCTGATAACAGTGGGGAAACAAGCCTCACAAAACCAAGGGACTTGGAGATCTAGCTATATATCCCATTTTAAAAGCCACGCTGCAAGCTAGGAAGGAGCCAAATGTGTCAGAAACACACATCAAACACATGGAGTATGTATCTAATACATCAGCTACGTATTAGACAGATAAAATCTAACACAGCATATTCCAAAGTACACAGACAAAGCCATGGCCGAGAAGCTTCAACTAAACGGCCAGAGGTGTGATGGATCCTTGGCTGACAGGAGCAGAGCTCAGACCCAAGGACTTCAATCCTGCATAATTGTGGGTTTGGGTACTGCTGCATTGTGTCACTACTTGCTACTGCAGACACAGCTCTCAAATCTAAAATGAAATAGCAGGAGGCTGTATTTTATCTCTTTTCCTCTTAAACCCAGGTAACCTTGGAGCAAATTAAATGGGTGAGAAAAGCTGAGAAGTGGGATAAGAGAAGCAATGAGCGAGTGTTAATTTCCCAGGGAAATGAGAAGCTATGTAGTTCAGCTACCAGGCCACAGTCTGGATAAACTGTTATTACTTCTCACATTTATTTGTTAGTTTTAGTTTATTTACAGTGTTGTTATCTACTTTTACCATTTTTTTTAATTATGTTGAATGTCTTTTCATCCCAGGGTCATGAGGTGGTAGACGTAGTCAGGAGGACGCTGCCTGCCAGCAGCACAGCAACATTTGTTGTTCTTGCAGCTATGGATAAACATAAAAACCGAATGCTACAAGCCAGTAGATACAGAAACAGTTAACCAGAAGTGAACTACTTCATTTCACTAACAGCAGATTAGTTTCATGCACAGGCACTCAGATAACCCCATGCAGGAGAAGAGCCGCAAGTTTCATGATGGAAATTGCATCAAATTAAAGATCAGAGGGCAGATGACATCTCTTTCAAGATGCAAGAGTACTGGTTGTGGAAAGTTAACAGGCTCGGTTTAGCTTCGTTCTTTCCTCTGCCAACAGGTAGTTCCTCCAAGTCTCTCTGACCTTCTTTCTTGTCCAGTGACTTTGGGGATCCCCCTACTTTCTTCTGGAAGGTGGAGGACCTTGCCCGTGGCAGAAGCTGTATTCTGGACTTCAGGTCATCTTTGTGTCCACAGCCTGTCCATATTCTGTGCACCTACCTCTTTTGGCAGCAGAGCCAGCAAGGGTAGGATGGGGATAAGCAGGGATGTAGGAGTCTGAACATATCTAGCCAAGAGGCCAGAAAGGATTCACTGGACAAGATTTTTGATACTGCCTTCCAAGATGCAGAAATTCTTCTACAGGTCAGAAACCCAGTATCTGTCTAACAGCACCTGGAAATCCTCCAGGCCCGGGTGGTTCAACATCAGCAACAACAGCAAAGATGCTCCAGTTTTGGACTGACCTTGTAAACCACACTGATGCTGTATTGCTGGCTTCTGCCCCAAATTCCACCCCATCCTCACAGACAGGGGCAGCTTCCAGCCTCACCCCACTCCCCTGACAAGCAGGTGCTGTTAGCACTTGCCCTGCAGAGAGGCAGGAAGAGGCACCAAAATGTTAGCACAAGTTACCCAAACAGCAGCTTATCTGAAGAAAAGGTGGTAGGCCAGAGGTGGCCTGGTAGTTGCCATTTGGACCATGCTAGTCCAAGCCTTGTATCTGACATAAAGTAAGAAGGGGAACAACAGTAGTCATGAGGAGGTACTGTCTTGTCTTATTACCTGCCCCAGAGCACTGTGGTGTTTGCATCCCTTCAAGGGACTCAATATATTCACTCCCCAGCCATTCTGCATATGTCCTCCTCTCTTCTACTGGCACGATCTTAATAGCAGAATCCTTAAAGATCAAGTCTTTTCCTTGAAAAGTTGAAGAATCAAACATTTTGAATCCATTTCCATTGCTGCTATTTCCAAAGTAGACCTGGAAACAATGCAAAATTTTCATTTTGTTGCATCTTGTTTTGCAAGATTAAGTGCCACATTCCTCTTGTACAACATGAAAGATGGTATGTACTGTTTTGTAGATGAAAAGTTCCTACACAATTGCAGAATCTCTCTGTTATGTGTTTCTTTTTACGTGTTCCGGTAGGTTAGATAGAGAATTCTGCCACTGGCAATTACAAGAACATCACTTGTAATTTTGTTTCTTTAGTTACTATCTGGGAAGAGCTGTATTTTTTAAAAGTTCTTCTAAGTATTGTTGTGTAATATAGGGTTTGGCTGCACATGAGTTCCAGAAATGACTGAAGCCTAGCACAGAGATAACTAGTTTAAAAGCAGTGTTGGATACTTTCAGTATTGACTGGAACCTAGCTGTGGCAGCCACACATGGTCTGCCTAGACGGTTTACCATGTACACGGCTGCACCATAAACATACCAAGCAACGTTGAGTTCCTAGGAAAATTCCAGCATGGAAAAGTGTTAGCATGTACTCTATTTCTTGTAGACTTCAAAGTCATACAGTTTGGGAAAACACCTTAAGCTCCAGGAAAATTACTACTGAAACCAGTGGCTGGGCAAAAAGTTGAAATCCCTTGTGCACCAGGGTGGTTTTACTAGGAGAATTACACAGGTTATATTTCTTCCACTCTGTCCCACTCCAACAACAGGGCTCTGCACAGTGCACATGCTGCCAGTCTCATGATGCAGGGGACATAATATGGCAGTATGGTCCTGTTGTCTTTATCTTTGGTCTGTGTTAGACCATACGTAACTCCCCCCAGTATAAATGGATTATTAATACCTGGGCTTTGTCCAGTAGTCCATAGAGAGCAAAAACACTGGTATTTGGGTGAACCATAATGGCCTGAGCTGGCACCCGAGCCAGGTGACACTCAGCAAACTGTGTGACTTCAGCACGGGCACCATTTGGACACAGTAACTGGAAATCACTGGACTTCAACTTTTGGGCCCAACTATCAGTATTCTTACCTGAAAAAAGAAACTGGTCATTGTCAGTCATTGAATGCTTTAGAGCAAAAAGGTTCTAGAAAAATTACTGAAATAATAGAGACATGTAAAACTAAGTACCATCTGTGTTCTCAAACACTGTCGAGTGCTTCACAAAGGCCACATCCCCCGAGTCCTGTGCCAGGCACCTTTAGGAAATGAGAGAACAATTCAATTCAAAGCACGTTTATGTGAACTACATTTTTTTCTAATAACCAATAGTTTTAGGATCCAATTTTTCTTACATACATTCCTGCAAACAAATGCACTGGACCCTAAGGTAATAAGCAAAACCAGAAATGAAGCATCTTGAAAGGAGATAAAACCAGCATCTTTGCAAACTGTTAAAAAATATTCTGAATTAAGAATTATAAGAGAGGAATACAACAGAAAATTTGGTTAAAAACAGTGTGAGAAACAACAGAAAAGGCCAATATTAGATGAGGAAAGAAACAGAAGACATTATGTGATACTCAGTGTAGTATTCCTTATCTGCTAACAGTCGCTTTCACTCCTTTTAAATCACGTACAAAGCATATGTCATTAAGACTTTTTTGAATAAAATAATTTGAATGTGTAACCCAAGAGTTTATCACATTGTGCACATGTCCAAGTGTGCACACTCACACGCATACCTTTTTTCCTCTTCTATTTCCAAGTTAGAGTGACCCTGGTGCTCACACAGACATTGCTTTTACAGCCCTGTACACTATAGATACCTAATTAATCTAACTGCAGTTTCTAACAGTACTGTTCCAGAACTAAGTTCAATTTCTTCTAATTTTCTGAAGCAGAAGCAGCTGCTTCATGCAGCTGCAACATGCCAAAGGCACCCTAGAATCTGCTCCTCTCGTATGAATGTGGTATCCCATTACAGAGAGTTTCGGGGCAGAAGTGTAGAACACCACACCTTTACCAGCATTTGCTATTTCCCACATTATATTGCAGTCTTGTCTAGTGCATGATATAACAAGCACCACAGACTGTTAGGAGATTTTCACTAGGCCTGAAATATGAAGTCAGCAGACAGAAGAAATGCATGGCACTTGCTTCAGGCAGCAAGTAATAGATAAATAAAATCAACCTTAAATCAGTGAGCTGGCTGAGCTCTAACTTCCCAGGTATTTTGGGTAGTGTGTGCTGGCAGAGGATCTGTGAGTAATAGAGTTTAGCAGTGGTAACTTGTAGTTTATCCTACAAGTGTTTTCAAGAAGAATTTCCTAAAACAAGATCATTAGACCCACCAATCAAGAAGATGTAAAGCTGTGACTGAGCATGGTTTATGTAGTACAAAACATGAGGGGAAAATTATTATTGCTAACAGTTATCAAAAATACATATATTTCATGTGTACCTGGCTTAACATGAGCAGTTATAATCAAAGTTCTTATCACCATGTGGCTGACACTGTCATGCAGAAAACAGAGGACTCGGTAGGTGCTGTTCAGTGCATTCCCCATTAGAAAAGGCTGTTCCCAATAGATTTTTCTGTACTCTGCGCAGTTTAATTTGCCCCAGGCAGTGGGATATATACAAACTGAATGACGTCTCATACCTCTAGTCAGGTTAGTCTGAAGATATCCAGAGTTGAAGGAATCTGGAAATCTGAGGCTGAATTTTAAGCTCATGTCAGTCACCTTCCATAACTCATTCTTCTTTTGGAGAGGATCACCTAAACATCACAGTCAGACTCATCCCTACCTTGCAGAAGATTGTGACCCTCCATTTTTCACCCAAATCCTAACCTTTTAAATATCTAAAACTTTCCACATCACCTGAAGAATTAAACATCTTCTCTAAAAAAACAAAACAAAACAAAACAAAAAAAACACCAAAGAAAAAAAAGTCATGATATCGATATGAAGTTTGGGCTGTACAGGCACTATTATCAAACGCACAGCCTTAGACTATGAGCAAGGCTCACACAGCCTGTAACAGCATTTGCTGCTTATTCATTTGGTGACTGGTAGCTAGCTCTGTTGATCTATGAAGTACAGCAGAGGATCTGGAGTTTGCCTGCAAGGCATGTATCACAGCAGAGCACCTGGACACAACTAAAGGTGATTATCTAAGTCTAGCACTTCAGTATCTACCAGGCAGCTGCTGTTGAAGTCCTCTCCCCTGAAGGAAAAAGACCACTCACTGCCAGCTGTTACATGCACCATTACTTTCAGAGGTGAAGTCAGGAAAAGGAAGTGCTACTTCCACATTTAAGACTTTCACAGCCTTTGGGTATGGTCCCATACGTAGATGGGGCTGTTACACAAAGTATTTATTCCATTTTATATTCTCTTCCCCTGTACCTTTAACACATCTTGGTTTGAAAAGGTTTTGATACTTGAACATTGGCCATAGCTGTTCGTGCACTTCAGAAACCTACCTTCACATACAGCCACCAATGAGCAAGGATAGTGTAGACTCACTCCTGGCTCCCCATCACTAGCCTGCCACTCAGCATGGACTTACAGCAGCCAAATTCTGGCTACTGTTTGCCTGCTTCCCTCCTAAAGCTCTTTATGGGTGATCCAACCATTCAGAGTGGCAGGCTGTCTGTCACACTAGACTAAAGCAAGACTGGAGACAGATGACAATCCACTTGGTCGTCACTCAGTAGGTGCCTATTGCTCTGTAAACAGACATATGGATTTGGCTGTTGGTCATCTGGTTGGCTGTGGGCCAAGAAACTGGCAAAAAGGTTTTGTCATGATCTAATGTAACACCTTGTGACATACCTGTATCGCTGAAGACATCTGGGGACACATGTCCCACTTCATTTACGGCACGTGCCACCTAACTGTAGCAACCATCACCACTTTTTGCTGGCTGGGATGGAAAATAGTACCTCCTTGCATTTTGACAAGCTGACAGACTAAACAACAACCATATGTATTAATTACCTGAAGGCTCCACTGTAGCTGTAATAACGTTCTTGGCTACTTGCACTGCATTTATTGTTTCCACTATTATCTCCAATACATAGCTGACAGAGTTTTGATGGGTAATTGTCCTGCTTAGCTGAAGGCACGCAGCTGGCAGAGAAAAACTCACTCACAGCTGGGGAAAGAGGGACAAACCAATACAATGAGTGAAAAGCGTAAGCTCTTAACAAGAAAGGCAGTTACACTGTCATGAAGTTATAACCAATGCAGGTTTCAGTAGAACACTAGAAAGATGAGTTACAGCTGCCTTCCTGTAATTCACTAACTATAGCTTTTAAAGTATTTTTCAAAGCACCATTTAGCTGATCACGTAATGAAACCAAAGAGCTTCCTGGAAGGTAGGAAATAGGCAAGCAAAATTCAATCTGGAGTCTGATGGTCATAGACCCTTTGCTGCTTGTGCTACATTGCTCCATTATTAAATACAGTTTGAAAATAAATGCAATAAAATGCAGAACAGGGATACATTTACTGCAATGACACCCCAGAGCTGGAATCCCCCAGAGGGGATATGTCTGTATAGACAATATGAGTTTCTGCGACTATCCTAGTATTGATATCTGGCTTGGGTCAATGTCCTCAAGCAAGAGCTAAGACAGACAGGTGTGAAAGCAGAATTTTCCAGACCGTATGATAAGCTTAAAGTTGATTACATGCAGAAAGCAATGGACTCTTCAAATGCATTTTTGAAAACTGGAAACGTTTATAAACTAAAAAAAAACTAAAAAAGTTTATGTTAGAAAGACATTGACATTCTAGAGCAAATATGTGGAAGCAGAGTAGGATGCTCAGAGGATTAGGGCATATGACATAACAGGCTGAGAGCTGGGTTTAGTCAGCCTGGAGGTAAGACAACTAACAGTATATTTCTATCTGCATTTACATACTGGGTTTCTCAAGAAGACAGAGCCAGATCCTTCTCAGAGGTGCAGGGCAAAAGGATGAGAAGCAACTGACGGAAGTTACAAGAAGAAAAATTCTGATTAAATATAAGAAAAAAATGTTTTATACCAAGGATGGTCAAACACTAGGACAGGGGTCCAGCAAGGCTGTGTGTAATCTCCATCCTAGGAGTTACTCAAAACCTGCCTGGACATGGCCCTGGCCAATCTGATCTAACTGGACCTGCTTTGAGCAGCTGGTTGGACTAGATGACCTCCAAAGGTGCCTTCCAATGTAAATTAGACAGTGATTTTGTGATAAAGGAAAGAGGGAAAGGAATACTTTTGCGTTAGATGTAACATGCTCAGTATGACCCCTTCATTAGTCTTCTCTGGTGGCAAACTTAGAATTTCAAATCGTTACATTAAAAATGCAACACCCCTTCACAAACAGATAAGCTTAATACAGAGCTATGAAATATCAAAATTACTTCCCTAATGAAAATTTATAGTTAGACTGTAACTGTATTTTTGATATGTAGTACTATTGTCTTACCTTGAGGAATATTGCAGTCTCTGGTCTTAATAACACCCCTCTTAATCAGTATACCAATGGGGATATTCCATCCAGCAGTTCTCCCCAGTCCTGTGTGGCAGGACTTCTTCCCTTTCAGGTCACTGATTGTGAATGCATTGGACGTATTTCGTTTCACTAATGCCACAGCATAGTATGCATTGCTGCTGTCATCAGCTTGCAGGAAAAAAACAAAATACATTATAGCTTCCCTTAAGCAGTCCCACTGCTTAATGATCATCTACAGATCCATTACAGTTACATGGTGCCACCTTCAGTAGCACCAACAATCAGCCAGTCAGGAATTACGAATGTACATGTAATTGTTCTTCACTTCTACTACTTCATAATTTTGCATTCACTTAGAGCCTGTATACTGGTACTGCTATGCACCGGAACTGAATAAGCTAGACACGAACATGAAAGTGTTCTTGATAACATCAGCTCTTACAAATACAACCCTCTGAAAAACAACATTTGGGTCATTAGTGACTTAGCAAAACTGCTTCAAGAAGTTATTTTTATGGGAAAACTCAAACCTCTATGAAAATTTCCATGAGTTTTGCAGCATGTTGAAATTCTACCTTAGTGACACAATGTCCACAAGCCCTCTTTTCATCAGTGACTCTGAGGGAGCCACACTGACAGGAAGAATTTGTTTCTAACTAGAGTCTACTGTGTAATTTTTGTATTTTTGCTTATGTTAAAAATATTTTGATTTTGTGAAGACTATTTTTTTCCATTATAAATATTTTTTGCAGAACTGAAAAGACAAATAAAGAAGTACAAGACTCAAAACTGCCAAAGACTGAACCTGGTCCTGCAGCAGAACAGATAAAAGCTGCCACAAACTCACTGTAGGAACCCATCCCATACTTATTTCCTCTTCTATCCATGACGTGAGGATAATAATTCTCATTTCCTTTGAAAACAGCTTTCCCAGCAGGGCTAGGGAACAGAGGCTGTGCTTTTAGAGCTGTTTTCAAATAACCTGGAAAAATAATGTCTATATTTATGTTTCCTGACCTTACCAGAGTAACTTTCTCCAGCAGCTGGTACAAGGCCATATGTCTTCCCAGCTGTGTAAATATCAGCTCCACCCAGAACTACAGCATCACTTTCCTTTTTCTGAAAAAGAAAATAAAATTTAGGGTTTCTGTGAAAAAACACCTCCCCTGCTACAACGACGACATCTCTAGCATCATACCTGTTGCATCTCAAAGCACAAGTCTGACAGCAAAAGAGCAATACACTGCTGAAGAAAACCCCCAAAACCTGCATAAAGCATCATCAGTGAAATGGGGACAGGAGATTTCATATATATGCTTGAGCTAAATGGGCAACCATGCCCTCATCACAACTGAAGATCATCAGGGTTCAGGCCCATCCATACCACGTGAGCTACAGATCACCTCCATGAAAACCAGTATTCCTTATGGTCACCTAGGTGTACAATATGTCTGATCCCACCTACCCAGCAGAGAGCAGCTTGTGTTGATTTGGTTTATTGCACACGGCTTGTAGCAGCCTACCTGGATCAGCTCCATGCACTGTTCCTTTGTCTTGGCTGAAATACACTGAATTGCTGGTTTCAAATTCTTTTTCTTAAAGGCAATGGCCATTTCACCACATTTCCATATCTCCTCAGTGGATACAACACACCAGTTCAAGCTTTCTGGCAACGCTGCACAAAATTGGAAAGCAAATACTACAGTTCACTTCCTTTGTAACAGACAAAGAGGGGTACACACTGCCCACTGTCACATACGTACCATACATCTTAATAAAAAAGTTTACTTGTATGTTTCTCTCCATCTCTATCTCAGACATACACCTGATTAGGAACCACAGAGCTCTCCAGTTTAGTGGTATGTCCACACTGCAAACCTACCCATAGCAAAGGAACAAGAACTCCCTACGATTGCTGACCATTAAACATGGTGATAACGCATTAGTTGAGTGCAACAAAAAACCACCCTGAACACAGGCTTCCTCATACCTGACAGTCACTAAGCAACACCCAGAAGAGACAAGTCTGGGAGGTGGGGGGCTTTGCCACAGCACAGAGCACGTCTGGGAGGCTCAGTTGCCATGATTATTAAGCTTCTTGAGGCAGGGATTCTTACAACCTGTGTTTCTGACTGCCAGAATGCACATCAAGTCATTTCTGCATTCCTCAAATAGTATAAAAGGTCATTAACACTTCAATAAAGAGCAGCTGAGGGTTTCTGCAGCTTCTGGAAGAAGTTCTCTGCTAGGAACCCATTAATCCGTTCTTTATAGACTACCTGAGGATTTACACAGCAACATATTACTATTTCCTCTTGTTAGCAGGTAAGAAATGAAGTACCAGGTAGCAGTAGCAGCTTACCAGGTTAATGTCTCACATACAGCAGAAAGGGTAGAAAACACTTGCATCTTGTAACACAGTGTTTGCACAGGCCTATTTGCACAGGAAAGTATTCTGAAATGTGATACTGTTTCTAGGTCAAAAAGTAACTTTTCTCCATGCTGAAAGATTAGAGTGGCATCCTGCCATAATCCTCCCAACAGTCAGAAGAAATTAAAGCAGAATAAAGATGGTCTTTGTTATCAGCTATTTTTGTTCATGGTTACAAATAGGAATCTAAAGTTGACTTACTGTTGGGGTCACAGCTCAGGGCTTGCATGGCGTGAAGATACTCATCACCCAGCCATGCCTGGTAATTCTGAGCTGTGATTGCAGTGAGCTCTGTGGTGGAGTCTCTGAACAGAAGATTCTGGGCACTGTAGGCTGCAGAGTCAAACATCTGAAACTTGGTGCCTAACCCATTAAATCTTTGCTGTAATGTTAAAGGAAGAAAAAACCACACCTGTTACACACCCCTCGACCTGGGATGTGTGACATCCCATAGCCCTTCAAACCCCACAGAGCTGAAGGCACCCAGATATTCAGCCAGGCGGGTGGGAGAACCCCTCTAAAATGCAACAGTGATCTTTTTTTTAAAAAAAAAAAAAAAAAAAAAAAAGTGTCTTACTTGTCCCTGATTCAGGAGCCGGAAGACAACTGTCCCATCTGTATCAGGCCGTACAACCACAGCACGAGCTGGAATTCGGGCCAGGTGGCATGTTCTCCACTCTGTCACATCAGCTGTGTTGCCATTGCGGCATAGAAGCTGGAAGTCCCGGGAGCGAAGCCGCTGGGCCCACGAAGAAAGACTTCTTCCTAAAATCGGACAGAACATGCTTATGGAACAGACATCAGGTGGGGTTGATGCCTCTGGCTCCACATCTGCTCTACACATCACATGCAGAGCAGAAAACCTCTCCTGAGCATCTTTCAACTATTCTTGACCACACGGTATACCCCATACATCTATGTAGTCCTTTAGTTTTGTATCTCCGATAAGACAATAAACAGCTTAACACTTGTGAGAGTGCATTGAACTGTACTGGGGTCTACAACAGTATCAATAGCACCCCAAAGTCTAGGATCATCATATTCAACATTTTTTGTTCTTTTTTTTCCTCTATAAATGATGGTCAGACAAGCCCATGCTATTAAAGTAACACTGTGCTCAAGGTAGATTTCACAAAGTGCTGCATAGGGCAGGCCACATCTCGATAACTTTCTGCTAGTCTGCTGAAATCCTTGGGTAGGCATGAGCAATGTAATAGCCCGGCTCTGTATAAAACTAAGAGTTTAATGCTGTTTAAGCTCTCCTTCCAGAAGCAGCTTAAGATTCCACCTCTAACCTTTACTGAAACTATCAAGCATTTTAAGGGGGGGGGGGGGAAAGGGGATCACATGGACTCCTCGATCTCCTCTATCTCCTGGTGCATGCATCTGTGGGTACATCTGGTTTTGCTATTACAGCATTTTTTGCTGTTTCGTCAATTCAAAATAAATCAAGCTTTTGACATTATACTGTCATTATAGACACAGTACTTCAGACCTTGCAGTCACTATTCAACAAGCTTCTGGATTACTCACCATCTGTATTTTCAGGCACCGTGCTGTGCTTCACAAAAGCAACTTCTCCAGCACCTTCAGCCAAACACCTAAATAAATATAAATCCAACCACAGACATACATTACAAAGCACAGCTCCTGTGCACTGGACACTGCCAGCTGGCAGCTATGTAGGAGCTTCCTTCCATCAGCCACAGACACTGACCTATTTCCTTGTGCTGAGGGGGTTTTGCTCAAGGCAGAGACTAGTGGCTGTTAGAACATGAAGTAAACTATCACTGTCATTGGTGAACATGGACAACATTTTCAGTGCTGCCCGGTACAAACACCATGACCTTCTTTGTCCAGGAGAGTTCTCCAAGGCACAATGCTTTGGGGAATACGCAGAGAGGAGCAAGTGTTTCACACAAGCAAATTCTGCTCTTGCTCAGTCAATGCTATCACTCACGGACTGGGAGCTGCAACACAGCACAGGGACAGGAAGAAGGGAAGTAACAGAAAGATTGGTGTGCAGAAACAGAGAGCAGAGCAACTCAGTAACTCAGAGCAACTGAGATGGGATGGCTGAAATAGCCGAGTAGGGTGGCAGTTCAGCTCTGACTCCAAGGTCATGAGGTTTTACTGGGGAAGATACAGCCAGCTGAAACAAACACTCAGACTTGCGTCAACAGCTGCTGGACAAAGCAAACAGCAATGGGATTTCCCTGCTCAGTATAAGTGCTAAATATCCATTTGGTTTTTGCTGGAGTCTCTGGGTTTAAAGCATGGTTGTGCCAACACAATAGCAGATCAATCGGAAGTTCTCTGGCTTCAATTCCCTGTCAGTGAGGCTTGGATATGATGGCTATGGATAGAGCATAGCGATAAAAAATTGACAGAGCTGTGATTTTTACCTGAAAGCCCCGCTGTAGTCATAGTATTGCTCTTGGGAATTTCGTTCACATTTGTTCTGCCCAGCCGAATCCCCTTTGCAGAGCTGACAGAGGGATTTGGGATAGTTTACACCATTTGCTCCAGGAACACAGCTTGCATTGAAATAGTCACTTACAGCTAAATACAAAATAAGAATGAGAAATTTTTAGCAATGAATAAACAAGATCCTACAATCTCATTTTAATATATCTACACAGTACATCTCTAAAAACATTTAGAAGGAATAAGTAATTTTGTTCTTAAAAGATGGTTTCCACGTTTAAAAAAAAAAACCCACACCCTGCAGTCTTCATCAGACCTAGGTTAGATCTATTCCGTCTTACAAGGAGCAAAGCCAAGGAACAGAAGAGCAACTAGAACCACACGTTTCTGTCTACTCAAAGGGTCCCAAGACCATACAGAAAGGCATTGCTGAAGAACAGATCTTTGCTCTGTAACTCTTACCTTTTGGAAGGTCACATCCCATTGCTGCCAGGCGCCCGCTGTCAACCAGATAACCCACTGGCACATCCCAGCCTGCAGTTCTGTTGATGCCTGTGTGACATGAACTGACTCCCTTCAAGCTGTTGATGGTGATGTTGGAGCTTTTCCGTACCACAGCCACGGCATAATAGGAAGTTCCAATCTCTGCAGTGTTGGAAGAAAGTGAAGCAACCAAAGCAGCCTTGCAGCATCATTACACTGAGACACAGTGATCTGTGGCCTCTTGTGGCTCCCCTACCCACAGGCAAGTCACATTGTTCACATCCTTGGTGCAAACCTGCTGACTGTGAGTGAATGCCCTCCATTATCTTTTCAGTGTGCAATGTCTTAGTTAAAGGCCACAGGCAATCTGCTCTAACTTTGAAGGGTTGTGGGATGAAAGACATCCAGAGGTTCCTTCCAAGAAGAAATTTGCTATGATTCTAAATATATTTGGATTGAATTGGTGCCAATATAATTAATAGTAAAAAAATATATATATTTCCCAGCTGTCTACTAATTTATCTTAATTTTGACATAGCATAGCAAGTTGATGTCTCTGGAGCATCACAGTTGATTTCATTCTCTTTGTTTTACAGTTTGATTTAACTCAGAGTCAGGACTTCAGGGTCCGAAGTGACCATAATAAGGTCATCAATCTGACTGTATTTAGATCTGAAGTCATTAAATTTCATTCAATTTTCTCTGATTTGAGCTTATAACCTGACTAATGGAAACAGACAGCCTCTGGATCATGAGGCCCATTTGGTTTTGAAATACTGAAGTACGGTTCCCTCACCGGGGTCATGATGTGGTTAACAGTGCAGGGGGGGCTGCTGCAGGTCATCCAAGTCCCTATGGACTGAGCCCAGCAGGTACTTCTGAGGATGCCTGGGCCAGATCACACTGAAACCCAGCTGCAAACCATATCCAGCTCCATCTCACAATAGAGTGGCGGCACACTGCATGCAGACTGCTTCCAGAGCTGCTCCTTCCCTTAGGTCTCTGAAAGTTATGGGGGACATCTTCCAGCTCTGAATTACACAAACATGTTGACACTAAGCCCTTAGTCAGGATGACAAGTCACCACTGAGTTGCTGTCTCCTTCTTGAAAGGAACTCAAAGCTTAATGACACCCAGATAAGGAGCAGAATCTATTACTTCCTTTATTCCAGCAGGTAATCATATAGACTACTAAAAACAGCATCTAATTATTCAAATTTATGGGATTGAGTGATAAATCTAGTGAGAATTTATGCTTTGCAATTCCTTAATTTTATCTGCAAAGTCTGGAACGCAGAAGACAGTAAGCAGTGAGACAGTAAAAAAACTCAAAACCAACAAATGAAACCAAAAAACAACCAAACCCATCTATTACAGGAACAGCTATTTTGACCTAACTGCTTTAGGACAGACCCTGCCACAGCCCCGCGTTTCCTGTTTCCCCCACACATTCTGTTACGGGCAGGAACATCCAAGAGGGAACCTGACCATTACCTACTGTTTAGAGTCTTCAAGAAGAGGACCGCAAAATAAAATGAAAACAGTAAAAATCCATAAAGAAAAGCTCGTATTAAGTAATCTAAAAGTTATTTAGTCAGAATATACCTTGATCATATACTTCCCCAACCACAGGTTTCAGACCATGCTCCTTTCCAGCCTGGTAAATCAAACGTCCATCCAGTGTCACTGCATCTGCCAAATCATCCTGCAGACACAAGGGCAGAATACACGTCGAAGCTTAATTATCGGTATTTCTCAACAGCCAGAGGCACAGTACCCATGAATTTAACAGAAGAGACCCCTTAATCTGCATTTGTGAGTTTTCTCCAAGAAGTTCTTTTAAAGGCACTCAAATTTCAGAAAAATGATTACCAAGAGGTATTTAGAATTTCAAAACCACTTCCTTCAGAAACAATGCAGAAACAAACCTCAGACCTTGATGGCTTCACTAGTCTTCATGGTCCAAAGGAATTTTAGAAATGGATCCTGCAGCTCTGTGATGAATATTAAGGCCAATCAATTTGGCATTTCATTCATCTCTATAGTTAGTGCCCCAAAGCTTGAAGATTTAAATAAAGTAAATATATTTTTGAAGTCATACACAGATAGCTTGAAGTAATGACTTCTGGGGCTGGAAAATCTGAATGCCAAAGTGCACTCGAAATCAACCTTAAAGCATGCTGGCTTGTACCTCAGAAGACAAACAGCCACACATCTTGGGAGAGGGGAAAGAGATGGCAGTGCATCTCACAGGAGGAGGAAAGCATCTAAAAAGACTGTCCAAAGTGGTGGAATACAAGTCTGGGGCATCCACTGCTGGGAAGGCGTCCAGCAATACCGTATCTTTTCAGCTGACTATAATGCCAAGCTGGCTGAAATCCTCCTACAGATGCAAGATTGCTCTGGAGAGCACGGGATAGGACTTCCCACAGCAGCAAGGACTAGAGAACTGCTATACACACCTCTGATCAGCTGAGCCTGGCCCTCACTATGTGCTGAACCCAGCGGAAGCCAGGAGGGGCATCTCGCACAGAGACGACACGTGGCTGAGACAATAATCAGCAGCTTGACATTTTGCATTTCTAAGCTGATTCCAAGTTTCTTATCAGTTCATTTAACCTCTGGTTCAGCACTGGAGGGGGTAATTTAGTTTACCCATCCCCTGGCAGTTTGCTGAGCATTGGTGAGGGTAGTGCTATGACTACGTTGCCTAGTATACCACAGCAATTTCCCCAGGCTGAGCCATGTAAAAAGCTTGAAATTTTTTTAAGGGATCGTGTGAAAACATAGGTAATACATGGATGTTGATACCTAGATCAGATTTGAAGTTGCCATGTAATTTGAAATATTTTACTTACGTGGCTCAAGGGAGAAAAAAGAAGGTATTCATTAATTAGCTGAAACAATGGATGACCTGAGAGTTCCTTCTCATGAATGAGAGTTGAACAAAGCTTCAAGAGAACTTGGGGTTGGAAGATATTTGCATCTTGAAGAACAGGCATGATCTTTCTGGAATAACCAGACCTGATATTCCACCAGTGAGAGTAAGAGCACTGGACAACAGTTTAGGAATCAAATGTGGCCTGTTGTTTAGAAAGGACAACAGACAGTGAGAGGAAGAAGAGGAGGTGGGAGTTAAAGAGGAAGAAGAGGAGGTAGGACTGGAAAGGCTGGCCACAGAAGATGAAGACTGTATTACATGGACATATTTCCATGTGAGATAGCACTTTTCAGATTGGAAAGGTGAGCCTTTGAGCTCTGTTTAGAGCAGAAAAACCTCCTGTCAATAACCTGGGTATAAATAACCAAACAAGACAGAAAAAAAATGCCTATTGTTGTATTTAATATAGATAGTTAATATAAATATAGTTATAGTTATATAGATAGTTATATTAATATAGTTGATATACATATTTAATAGGTACTTAAAGTTATATTTAATAAGTATAGTCTACAGACCTCTCCTTCAAATGCATACAATCTGAGGTGGCATATCAGCAGCAGTGCGGGTATTTTTTTTTTTTTTGGTAGCAAGCATTTGCCAATACATTTTGCAAAAGCACAGGATTATTCTACATATGATTTTTTGATAAGTATATGTGCAATGGTAATACCTTGTTAATTATTTTCAGAGGGACTTAATTTCTGTGTGTCAGAACATTTGAGAATTACCTACAGAAGTGTTTAAAGACCTGCTGAATAGCAGCTCTGGTCACATTAAAGATTGTCAGGTTCCCTAGTTTAATATTTAGACATTTCTCAATTTTTAAACACCTTTAAAGAAAAAGGTTTTTCACTTTATCAATGTGCTAACACATGCACAGGACTAAGTCCAAGTTATGTAGTGTTATAAAAAAGCGTATCTCTGCCTCTTCAGCCATTGCGTCCCACTCCCTTTTTGGCCCCAAAGAGCAGAGTTCAGTGTGAATGCGGACTCAGGGGTTCCACACAGTCCTACACAGAGTAGGCCAGCTTAAACATTTAGTAGATTATTAGCACAAGAAAAGAGGTCTCAAGGACAAAGACTCATCTGAAGCCTTACAGTGAAGATTCATTTTATCAGAAAGCTATGTACTCACACTTTCCACCTGCAGGTTTGAGTTCAGCTCATCAAGTTTTATAGGAATCCAAGGTTTTAGACAAGTGGGCTGCTTGCAATGACTTACAAATGCAATTCTGTGCGCACTGTGTTTCAGAAGCACTCATCAGCCCTTTTAATAACCTGCTTTGCAGAGTCTAACAGGTCCCCCTCTGTGGAAGGCAATGCAACCAGCTAAGAGGTTTTAGGAAGGTCTGACATTAGATTCCTGTTTAATCCCCGAGGTAAGATCCACGTAAGTATCAATATCCACTCCTAACATTCTTCAAAACAGTCTTGAGTCCCTCGCTCAAGAACAGTATTTATCAAGAGGCAACGCGGTAGTTTTAGTAGTCAGACAACTCTTCCGCTTCTGTTAACAAAAAATTACAAGATACCAATTTCTGAAATTTGTTCCTTTTTTCTGGCCAGACAACCACATGCCTCATCTCCCTTCAAACTACCCTGCCAGGTCTCGTCTCCAGGCTCTGAACCTCTTGTCCTTGACAGGCTGCCTCTCCTCCACAAAACCCTGTTTTTTTTGGGCATGTCTACACAGGATACACAGAAGAATGTTATTTATTAACATTAACAGCCAGCCATCCTCCTCTTCCCCTCACACTCTGCTGTTAAAGACGACCATGCTTACCCGCCTCCACATTTCCTTCAATATCCACTTGTTACCTCCCACGCCTCCTAAGGAATTATTTTCCACACATCATTTCACAAAGCCACATGTTTACAGTCTTTAAACCCTTCCACAGAGCCATGTCCTTTTTTGGAAACTGAGCACGCTCTGTGCAGCTGAATTAATACAGCCGGGTTCACGTGCTCTTTGCCCACCCTACTTGCTGCTTTATTTCTCTATTGTACTCCGGTATTGGGAGACTGGATTTGGCTTTACACTCATCTGTATATACAGCAGTTTCCATGATGGGAACTTGAAATGGGAGGTTGATCCAGAGTTTACTGAAATACAATCTACTTACAGGCTCACCAGCACAGCTTTAACTACTGTCTCCATCTTATAGCTCCATCCCTTCTTAAACATCTGCTAAATAAATCTGGCAATTTCCAAATCAAAGATTAGCATTTGGGAGGAAATATTCAAGACCTTTGCTGTGTTCCTAATGGCTCGTCATATGTAACTAGCCAAATAGACGATGCAGGGCCATTCTGACATTCAGGTTCATATGTATAACTTCATGTCTTTTTTAAAAAATACATGCTTTGATTTTTCAGAGACATGAACCCCAAGAAGCACACAGTCAGCTTCCTGGATCATCAGATAGAGCTGTGTACATCGCCACTGTATTATTATTAGGCACATGGGGCAATTAAATCAATGACACTGCTGTCACTCACAACTCACCTTGATCATCTGGGTACAGTTAGCAGCTGACCCCCCTTCTGTACACTGCAGAGGGGGAAGGATGCCAGCCCCATCAAAGGCCTTACTCATGTCATTACACTTGGAAAGTTCTTGCTTGGAGACAGTGCACCACCGAATACGTTCCAGGCCAAGAGCTGTAAACACAACACCAAGAGAAAATATTATAAAACACGTTGGTGCCTTTGTAACAGAGCTTATCATTTCAACACTACTGAAGGGCCAACCTTTCATTCCATTCCTCCTCCCAAAACAGAAAGAAATCAGGGCTCTTTCAACAGTGAGTCTAATTTAGAGATGGTTCCCACTTTCATTCAGATTAACATGAATACTGAGTTTTTTTGGACTGGAAACAAGATAGGCTCAGACTCAGATACTGAAACCTGATGGTATTTATTTCTGACATAAGAAATATGGGTACCACAGAACAGGTCAGTGCATCCAGACTATTCTTAAATCCTTGCAGAATATACCACCTTTTCTCAAGGCAAAAGTGTATAAAATGATACCCTCCAAAACCAAAGAGACTGGCCAAAGACAACTCTGTCTCAAGCATTGTTAGTTAGTACCTGGAGCTCTGCCCCAGCCCTTTTCGGTCTGAATAAAAAAGCACTCGTAGGTGCTCAAGAGTCTTGCCACTAGGCTTATTATGAAAACTAGAAAAGTAAACTCGTCCCTTCAAAACACCCTTTCATAAGAGGCTGTTTCCACAGTCACGAAGCAGCAGTTCCCTGAATGAAAAGACTCAAGTTGAGTAGTGGAGGTTGCACTAATCAGTGAAGAACAGTGTCTTTCAGGAGGCCCAAACACTACCCTTTAAGCACCAAGGCTACAAACACTTTGTTGCTTTTGTAAGGATAAGTCATCATGTGCAAAAAGTGCAGCTGTACATAAAATGTGTAAGCAAGTACAATTTATGCTGATACACAGGCACAGATCATTTTCATAAGCAGAGGGCACCACATTTCATTGCTTTTCTACAATTTTGACTTTTAAGTTAGAGTCTGCTGTAAGTTGTCATGTGGTTTTCTAAAAATTCTTAACTGGCTCTCTACTTCTCCACCATCGTCATGCAGCTGAGATACCACATGTAACTCCGCAAGTTAAAATGACTCCACTAGTGCTCAAAAGTAGCTATGCACATTTTCTGGCTTAGTGGCTGCAGACTAAACAAGATCATTGAGGCCATAAACCTTGTTTTGCACCCAACGCTGAAAGAGAGGGCTTGGCTTGCTGTTCCACTGCAACTCGGAGCCAACTCTACTGCTGTCAACAAACACTAAATCAGACTTGGAAACCTTACAGGAAGTTTTCATGGCAGCATGCGCTAGCAGAGGGAGAAACAACTCCCCACCTCTGAGTTGCAGGAATTCTGAGAACCAAGAGGGTTAAAAGAAAGGCACAACATGGTCATGGTAAAAAGGCACCTCATGGAAACTCAACATCCACCTCATCTCCCTGGGTGCAATGTTCACCATTAATTTCTTCGGGCAGGAAGAAGAACCTAGGTTTTCATTGATAAAGTTTTGTTTGTTTGTTTTTTCCTCCTAAACATGAGCGATTGGAAATTAAATTGGGGTCTCAGCATCTCAGTCTGTATGACTAAGTGCCATTCTTCAGCATCAGCACTCTGGTTTTAGATATAAATACAGAGGAGATAATGCATGAATTGTATGAAGAAATCATTAGCCACATACACCTGAAACATGAAATAAAGCTCATTTGGCTCCATATTTCAGCCAAACAGTGAAACAGCATGAATGTGTTGCTTTTTTCCCCCTCAGTCATCTAAGAGGTAATTAATTTGTCCCTTTCCAAACTGCTGAACTTCATTGTTACAGGAAATCCAGATCCCGGGCAATTTCCTGTTTCCTTCCTTACAGGTTAACCCATCTGAAGTGGGCTTCAGCACAGACAAAGCTTGTAGTTTAGCCTCTCTTCCTATTGCCAACCAAAAACATCCTAAAACAGCAGGTCAGTCTCTGAACCCAAGTTTATTCTCAATTTTGGCCCTTCTGTAGATATACGTGAAGCATGAAATGGCAGGAGCTGGCAGCTTCCATTTGAAGTATACTCAAGGTCCTAAACACACATATAACTTTATCATTGGCAAACATCCAATTAACTCCTTTGCTGAAAGTAACAGCACTACATTGTGTAACATCTTATGAAATGGCTAATAATACAGCTATTAGTACACTATCAAGGGCTTTCAACAGAAATAATGTTATAAAAAGAATAAAACTAGGATAATTTCTTTTTGAAGAACTGTGGAGCGCTTCAGAAACAGCATCTACACCTCTGGCAAAATTAAAAGCATTCACCATCAGAACTTGGCAGTGCCAGGAGAAAACCAATATGTCACACAGAGCGCGATACGTGGAATAAGGCAATTATTTCTGTTTTTACAAAGTAAGTGTCATAGAACTGTTCACACTTGTGAGAAACAGACACCACTGAACCAAAAGAAGTAGATTCAGTGCCGGGGAAATACAACATTTGACACCAACAAGTGTCATATACACATACATGGTGTTCAATACAGCTTTTTCTACTCCTTTTCTATTTTTTCCATTCTTTCTTTTCCTGGCCATTGGTTCTTAAATGGTTCTAGTTTCCCTCTGCTCTCTCACATCACATATAAACCAACCCCTAAGACACCAAGCCACAGCAAAAGTTTTTGGAGGGCACTTACCAGCATGAAAGAAGAGAAGATAGAAGACATTTCTGAAGGTCTTCATGGTGCAAATTTTAGGATTTTTGCTTTTTCCAGCCTTCAGAACCCCCAGAGATCAATGCTTCTGCAAGTGTGCTCTCCCCAGCCTGCTCTTTGGTGAAAATCAGCAGCATTCCATTGTAGATGCACTTTGTTCAACAATTTATCTTGCTTACCTTGGCACACGTCACCTCATGATGACTGCGGGGAGAAAAAAAGCCTACCTCTCTTCACACTGCCTCTACACTGGCAAAAAAATTCCGACTAGGAAATTGCAAAATATCGGAGGCACCAGCGAGGTTGTTACTGCTTTAGCACCACCTATAGACTCAGATAAACAGCTACACACCGACTCACAGGGGTAAAGCAGGGCTGTGTAAAGTCCTCGTCAATTATGAGTTCTATGTATTCCTTATCTGTCAGGGCTCAGGAAGCAAAAGCAGATTCAAGCTAAGCACTTTATCTGACAAGAGCTGATGGTCACTTTTTTGGCCACATTCTCAGCATTTTCATTAATTTCATAAAGCCATAATAAGAAACCCGGGCTTTTCCAATGGTGAAGCCCGCGCACTCCAAAGGTGGTACAGCGGTGTGCTAAGTGCACATCTCCTTAAGATTAATAGCAAGTGCTATGAAATAGCTGAAGTAGTTTCATTTTTTTTTAAGGTTTTAGAGAAGACCCAGGAAGGCTTCTCTCTCCCAGGGAGAATAAGAACTCTGCTGACAATAGCTCTGTTAAAAGCTGCTGTGACTTTTAGAGTAGCTTCCACAAAGCAACACTCATTTGTTCATTTCTTATTAGTCAATGTATTGTAAAATATATCTTTAAAATACAGAAAGTAAGGTGTACCCAAGAATCAAAGACAAATCAGCACCCAATACTGGAAAAATGAGATCCAGAGAAACAGCAATTACTGCAAAATCCTAAAAATTACAAAGTAAATCAAGTAAACTAGGAGCATCGGGGCTGTCGGAATCAACTTTTCTGCAAGGGCTTAAGGGCAACATCTAAAACAAACAAAACCAAAAATGCAAAAAAGATACACCAGCGTCCTTGGGGTTTTCGTTCTTTGTTTTCTTAAGACTTGTTCTCACTCTAGCATGACAACCATGTAAGTGCTGTAGACTTTAGTCTGAGTGTAGTATTTAATGACGCTGGCCTACAACAAGGCAAATGCCTTGGAGAAAAGTTCTGTGAAAATTATTCAGACACCCCAATATATGAAAGAGTAATTCCTCACTTATCTCTCAGCTGAACAGGACTCCTGATGAAAAAAAAGTTAAAAAAACCTCTGTTAAAGGAAAAAAATTTATGCAATATAGAGATCTCAGATGTTATGATTTGCAGATTTGATAGATCCTTTTTTTTTTTTTTTAAGTTGTTCTGTTTTAAGATGTCTCACTAGAAACCTCAGATAGTCATTTCCAAAGAGACAGACTGTAGCACACTTCTAGCTCCTTTAAAAATGCATGACATTATTTATCGTAAGTTGTATTTTTACACACCTTGCACTTCCATTGAGTCTCAAAGACAGCACACCTACTTCACAAATCTAGAAAAACAAAAATTATTTTGGGTCATACATCAGCAGGTTACACTTACTGTAAGTCTTATAAGCATTCCACATAACACCAGCAATACTTGCATCCCAGGTTTAAACCTGCATTTAATGTAGTAACTTCACCGGCCCCAGTGTGGTCGCCACTGTTCCTCTAACACAGCATTTTCACTTACAGTCTAAGCCAATTATCTTAAAATGCTACAACATCTCTATTTCTTTTGATTAAAAACACACTTGACAAATATATTGTACAATAAAGTTTATTAGCCGTTCTCCTCTTTCTAACAAATGGAATGGATAGTGTTGATAATTCTTTACAAACCAAAGCTAATTTGGTTGTGTGACTGCCCCATGACTGCCGTAAGTACATCCCTTTTATAAACAATCAGTTTCAAATAAGCAATGGCAGGTACCAAATAATACGGGAATTAGAGAATTTCATTACTGAAGGTAGTTCCATGTTTTGGTAACAACATATTTATAACATTCAGCACAGAAGTTTGTGCATTGCAAATGGAACATGTACAGAGAGATAAAATGTATTGTTGACTCTGAATTCTCCCTTTGGTTAAGACATGCATATTGGGGGGAGGGAGGTAGAGAAAGACAACAAACACCTGAAATTCTGTAGAAAAGAGGAGAACCTGCACGTATTTTTTTTCTTGTAACTCATATTCCCTGGACTTTAGGCCCAGCCACCATAGCCCATTTTGCTTTCTTGTGATTAAGGAAGGTAAATTCTAATTTGTATTTTCATTCAAAACAAAAAGCTAGGAGTAGGTGGTAAAAGAAAAATATATATTTTTTATATATATATTTATACGTGTGCGCAACTATGTAAAGAAAATAATTCCCATAGTTACAGAGTTTAGTTAAAGAAAGTTTAATATATATATATATTTATTATAACAAAATAGGCAGTTATTGTGGGTAAAATATTCATTAAAATCTGACCCCTAAGAACACACACATTTTTAGGCTACGAATCACTCTCTCATTGCCCTAATGACCATCTCTGCAGCTGCTTTCTGTATTACTGCCAATGGAAATTTGGCATTCCCCTGAAAAATACAAGGTTTCCTAGCACCTAAACATATTTTAGGCTCAAAAAGTGTGATGACCATTATCTAGAAACAATTTCCGTAAGACACTGTAAATAGTGTTTCACAAGGAAGATTAAAAACATTACACATCTTTGTCCCTAGCAATTTTATTGGCAAAAAATGAAAAAATAGATTATAAGAATATCCATATGAAATTATGAAAATGAATATCCCTTGAGGAGTAGTAATGGGAGTTAATGAAAATGTTAACTCAAAATTTGAAAGTTTCTCTCTAACTGCCTGGAAAGGAAAAAAAAAATATTGTGAGAATAGAATTTAACTCAGAAAATAAAACCCGAAATTGATTGCCCTGACCAAACCATGCTATTAAAGTTAAGCGTGCAAAGTTACTCATGATTTACAACTTCCTTGAATACAACTTTTCTTTCAATTGTTATGAAATTTTAAAAGAATGTCTATAAAGCTTTTTTGAAAAATCTTTGAAAGTTACTTTCCCTTAAACATTAAGGAATTTTACCAAGCAATTCCCTCCCACCCCCACCCCAAACTAATAGCTGGTCAGGCCATTCCACTGTCATGTTTGAAAAATGGCAAACCAACAACACACAATAATACACATTATTTAAACTAAGAGAGACACCAAATGTAAAGCATTATGGGAACTGCAGAATGTGATGGTTAGGGTATGAACCACGCTGGAAAGAACTAGAGGCAGGCTCCACTGGAAGGGCTTAAGAGTCGTCAGATGTAATAGGTGATGTCAGTTAGAAAATGAAAAAAATCAAGATCTGTTTTCATAATTTTTCTTTTGCTGGAACCCAGATGTAAGGCCCAGACTGTTCCTCTATGATCTGTTTCACTTGGTTGTAGATTTCTTCCAGTGTGTCTCCTTGGACAATAGCTGCAAAACATAATGTGGCAATCAGCAATCATCCTCCCTAGCTCCATACAGAAACCAAGATGTTCCAAGCCAAGCTGTTCTTTTCATTTAGAGTGGCAAGAAGATTTAGATCGTTGAAGGAACGGACACCCACTGAGATTTCTGGTTTCTGTGCTGGAGTGAAGCACGTTGCTGATGGTACTGCAGGACACACAAAGCACCATCTCTCCCACTCAGAGGCTTGGGGTTAGGAAGTGGTTTTCACTGTACCACAAGTATACATCTACAACTGAGGTGTTTTTTTTTGCTTTTCCTAACCACATGTTAGAGTTTGCCTGAGTCAATTCACATCCTCCATGTGCTTATTCACAACTTCCATGTGTGTTTCCAACACAAAAAGGCAAGACAGAGTACAGGGCTGTGTCCTCATGCAGTCAGAGTCGGGCTTGGTGTAATGCAGACTGGTGAACTCCTCAGCTGGATCCTGAAACTTCATAGCAAGGCTGGCTGACCTTGGGATTTCTACCTGCTAGCACTATCTTTGCTTTTGGCCAAAAAGAGGAGGAACTCATGGAGTTTGTTGCCCAGCCAATAGATTCAAGTTTTATAGACAACAGGCTCCCTTACATAGTTAAAAGTACAATTTATATTCAGATGGTGTAAGTTAGATATATTTTCTCCAAGGCTAGGAAATAATTAGAAATGAGCCAATATGGATGTGTTCTGACATAACAGAGTATAAAGTACATTCTGGTGAGAGTGAGGATGAAGTTTGAGCTTAGCACACTTCAGTCTGAAAAAGCAATCGCCATGAGATAGCAACTTCTTTTTAATTAGGATCGCCACCTCAGTGTTGATAATCCAAGAAACAAAAGTCTAGCATGAATGATAATTTTGGAGGCAGGCCAGACTCACTCTTTTGTGCATTAATATATCACTGCTGCTTCTGAGCTTTGCTTTCATGCAAATTACTTCCTTTTTATTCTTACTCATCATTCCTATCTCTTAAAAACTTTCTCCCCATCTGCAGCCCATTGTCATAGTGCCTGTGGGAGGAGAAGGCTGTTCAATTATAGGTCAAGTATCATGTTGACAGCACAACAGTACATTAGAAAGATTTAGAAATATCTTTGCAATGGAAATAGCCATAAGCTTCAGCATCTTACTTCTCTCCAGCTACGTTTAACCACACCTCTTCCAAAGCTCAATACCCTCAAAATAGAAGATGGACATGCTCTTCTTCATGTGCTTCAGTGCAAAGTTTAAGTCTGTTTAAACTTAAGCTGCTGATGAAGTTGATTTCAGTTACCCCACATGATGTGGTATTTTTTAACAGATTAAGGAATGCTCACACTGTTTTACTAGCTGACTCATATGGGTGGCAGCCTCCAAACTGTAAGCAGTAAGTGGGATCTGTAATGTCTTCAAGTATCTCAAACAGATTCAGAAAAGGATTCTGCCCTGAACTGGATTATCAAGGACAGAAGTCTGACCATTGCTATCTTCCTTTGTCAACAAGCCTTATACTTCTGAGAAGAAAACCAGCCCTGAGCACTAGAGCTCTTAAAAAGGCCCATAAGTTTTTAAAACATCTTGAATTATGCCCCTTAATTTCCTGTAGAAGTGCCCTACATAATGCCCTGAGACAACCTGGGAGCATACCAGCTACTAACTAAATATTTAATTAGTATCTATTAAAATAAACTCATTCATTTCCTGAACAACAAACCTTACACACTTGCAAGTCATTTGGTAAGGGATTAATAATAGGAAGAATTTGCAATATATGTTCAGAGTCCCATAACCTTCTGGGTACAGACCGAGAGCTATGGGAAGTGTGGGAGAGCTAGATGCAGTATTGGGATAAACTGTGACAGCTGCAAGGCAGCAGAGAGGGAGTGAGACAGACAAAAAGAGATGGACTCAAGTTACTCATTGTGTGGGTAGCACACGATGTAGAGAAC